GGGGAAATGGGGGGGTTTGGGGGGCACAGGGAGGGGTTTGGGGGGCACAGGGAGGGGTTTGGGGGGGCTCTGTGCAGGTCAGTGGTGGGGCTGGGGGGTTCTGGAGCAGGGCAAGGGGAAATGGGGGTGATTTCAGAGGTTTTGGGGTGGTTTTGGAGTGATTCTGAAAGTCCTGAGTGGTTCAGGGTGGGTTCTGGGGAATTTCGGGTGGTTGGGGGTTTTTGTGGGTCCAGAATGTTTCGGTGGCAGGGTTCCTGGAGGGTTTTGGGGTGTTTTTGAGGGGTGGTTCTCAGAGGTTTTCAGGGGTTTTGGGGGTTCTGGTGGATTTTGGGGTGTTCTGGGGGGGATTTTGGGGTGCTCTGGGGGTCGCCGCAGCCCCTGACGCTGCCCCCCAGGACCTGAGCATGTCGGAGGAGGATCAGATGATGAGAGCCATCGCCATGTCCCTGGGCCAGGACATCCCCATGGAGCAGCGTGCCGAGTCCCCCGAGGTGGGACCTCCCAAAAACCCCATTTCCTATCCCAAATCCTTGTTTCCTATCCCAAAACCTCAATTTCTCTCCCATTTCCCTGCTCCAAACCCCCATTTCCCTGTCCCAAACCCTCTTTTGTCCCCCATTTCCCTGTCCCAAACCCCCTTTTCTTCCCCAAAGAAAAAGGGGTTTGATTTCCCTGTCCCAAACCCCAATTTCTCCCCCATTTCTGTGCCCCAAACCCCATTTCCCTGCCCCAAACCCCCTTTTGTCCCCCATTTCCCTGCCCCAACCCCCATTTCTCCCCCAAACCCCCATTTCTCCCTGATTTTCCTGCCCCAAACCCCAATTTCTCCCTCCAAACCCAAATTTCTCCCCCATTTCCCTATCCCAAATCCCAATTTCTCCACCCAGACTCCCTTTTCTCCCTGATTTCCCTGTCCCAAACCCCAATTTCTCCCCCCAAACCCCCATTTCTCCCTGCAAACCCCAATTTCTCCCCCATTTCCCTGTCCCAAACCCCCATTTCTCCCCCCAAACCCCCATTTCTCCCCCATTTCCCTGCCCCAAACCCCCATTTCTCCCCCATCACCCCATTTCCCCCCCCAGGAGGCCGCGTGCCGCAAGGAGGAGGAGGAGCGGCGGGCGCGGGAGCGGCAGGAGGAGGAGGAGGCCAAGTGCCTGGAGAAGTTCGAGGGGGCCGAGCCGCTGGAGGCGGCCGAGCTCGGCGCCTTCACGGACTCGATGCTGCCCGGCTGCTCGCAGCTGCTGGACGAGCTGCCGGACACCGTGTACCGCGTCTGCGACCTGCTGATGACGGCCGTGCGCCGCAACGGCCCGGCCTACCGGGACAGCGTGCTCAAGCAGGTGGTGCAGCAGGTATGGAGGCCTGAACCCGGCCTAAATTCAGCCTAAACCTGCCCCAAACCTGTCCCAAACCCACCCTGAGACCCCCAAACCAGCCCTGAGACCCCTGACTGCCTGGCCTGCTGGGGCTCAGTGCTCAAATGGGGTGCAGCAGGTATGGAGGCCTGAACCCAGCCTGAACCCAGCCTAAACCTGCCCCAAACCTGTCCCAAACCCACCCTGAGACCCCCAAACCAGTCCTGAGACCCCTGACTGCCTGGCCTGCCAGGGCTTAGTGCTCAAATGGGGTGCAGCAGGTATGGAGGCCTGAACCCGGCCTAAACTCAGCCTAAACTCAGCCTAAACCTGCCCCAAACCCACCCTGAGACCCCCAGACCAGCCCCGAGACCCCTGACTGCCTGGCCTGCCAGGGCTTAGTGCTCAAGCAGGTGGTGCAGCAGGTATGGAGGCCTGAACCCGGCCTAAACTCAGCCTAAACTCAGCCTAAACCTGCCCCAAACCCACCCTGAGACCCCCAGACCAGCC